GTCTTTGTATTAGCGTAAAAATAATGACTTTTTTTTTTCAAACTAGGTAATGGTTATTAAATAATATCACAATCAATATTCTAACTTGTTTGATTTTAAATTCATAGCAGCACATGTAGAGGTCATGTATTATTATTTTTTATGTTTTTATATTATTTTATGAAAATAAAAAATAACATTACATTAATGAGTGGCAATTATATATAAAATATGTATTTTGAATTATTAATTTAATGATATTTTACATAATTTAATTATGTCATCTATAATAAAACTTGTAAATGTATAGAAAAGGTTTGTAAAAAGTCACTTTTGGTCAATGTAATGCATAATTGCTAAATAAGCTTTATTCAGCGTTTAATTTTATTTAAATTTTAATATGTAATATTAATTTATAAAAAAAAAAATCTTGCTAACCCCATACTTTTGAATGGTGCTGTACACTATTTTGCATAGTTTGTTTATTACTTTTTAAAAAGAGAGTACTTTTTGCATTGATGCTTCATCAGGACATCATCCTTATTCTGATCAAGGTCTTAATTTGTTAACATAAAAAATATCTACTGAAATTGCAGCGGAAAATGGCATTTAGAATATTACAACAATTTCTCAATAACACAATTTTTATATAAATGTTTTGCTTATCTTTAAACACTTTTTTGAAACAAGCTTAGAACTGAATTTAAGACTTCAATCAGCCCTGTTTACATATGACTGAATGTGGAGTCTCATTATCGTTTATAGTTGGCCTTTTCTGGCTTTATTAATGTGCTCGTAAACCACATCTTATGACTTGGCAGAAGGTCTAAAAGTTTATTGCACGGGGTTCAGCTGTTTCTGCAGATAAGTGCTTCAGGCTCGCAATCATACAGATGATGTTGTGATTGTGGCGCTCAGGATGTGGGTTGGTGGTGGAGTTTTTGTGTCAACTGCATCATGATGTAGCCTGAAACGCACAGTTTATGTTCCGTTTATCTATATAAATGGTGTATTATGATTGAAAGGACAGTCAGACTGCTCAGAGTTTGTAAACATGCAGGCTATAAAGGCAAGACCATTACCAGCACTGATGTCAAACACTGTCACAGTCTGTTCTGATAGTCATGGACAGCCAGGACAAAATGTTAAGATCATTCAATTGTACTTTAAGGCCTGTTCACACCAAGGACGATAACTATAAAGATAACGATAAAGTAGGGCTGTGCAAAAAATGTAATTCGATTGACAAGCTACAGAAAATCGCGTTTAAAATCGCAGGCGATTCATTGCCGATTTTGAAC